GTGTGTACAAGGGATAGCAAGCAGTCTAGTTTGCCTAGAATGTAGAGTGCATGAAGAAGAGTAGTTAGAAATTAATCTGCAAAAAGAGGTTGGAGCAATAAAATTGAGGTTTTTAAATCTCAAACAGGAGAGTTTGTATTTCATTCTAGAAGTAGTAGGAAGCCCTTGAAACTTCTTGATCAGAGCAATGACATGGTCCTACTCATGCTTTAGGAATATCACTTTAGGCAGCTATGTGGAAGATGGGTTACAGAGAGAAGAGACTAGAGGCTGGGAGATCTATAGAAATTCTTAACCTTTCTGTGTTAGAACCCTCTGGCAGTCTGATGAAGCTTATGGAAATCTCAGAATGCTTTTTTTAAAAATACATAAAATAAAGTATGTAAGATTAAAGCAGAAACCAATTATATTGAAATAAGGTCATCAAAATATATATTTAAAAAAACCCAAGTACACACACCCTAGTTGAAGAATTCCTAGGAGGATATTGCAATAGTCTAGGCGAAAAATGATAAGGGCCTCAATTAAGATGTTGTCCATGTGAATGAAGAGGTCATAAATATATGTTGCATGGGGAGAACTTTGTAAGTCAGTTGCTTGGAACTTAAAATTTATTTTCACATAGAACTAATATTATAAATGGCCTTTAGGTTCCCCAAAAGATCCCACAAAGCTTGCTTAAGCCTCAAAGCAGATGACATAATTTTATTTTGTAATTACCCCCAGTTTTGACTCACTGTCCCTGCCCTTAGGAACTTCTTTTCCTCTTCTTTTTTCTCCATTGCCTTTCATCTTTCTTCTCCTCACTTTTCAATTATGTTTTTGATAAGCTTTTGTAGGCCAGTTTGGGAGCCTCGCCACAGCTCATGGCTTTGTCTCTTTAGGAACCATTTTATTCAGCAGAATGAAAACAATTTAGCAGCTCAAGGGTGCTTGCATCCTCAACTTCTTTCACATCAGTCACCTCTGATGTGGTATACAAGGGGGAAGGGTACAGCACAGGAGTCTAGAGATTAGGAAGCCCTCCAATGGTGAGCCCCTAGAAGAGAAAACAGGACCACAGAGAGATGATAGAGAGATAGAGAGAGAGATAATAGAAAGATGATCGATAGATAGAGATGATAGTAAGATAGAGATGATAAATGATGGACAGATATATAGAGATGATAGAGAGACAGATGATAGATTATAGATGTTACAGATGGATGGAGAGAGATGATAGATAAATGATAGAGTAATAATAAAGATATGAATATATATATATATATATATATATATATATATATATATATATATATAAAGAGAGAGAGATGGATGGATAGAGATAAATAAAAAGATGAAAGATAGATGATAGAGAAATTGAAAGTAGAGATAAAGATGGAGAAATAGAGAGATGGATGGAGAAATAAAGACATAAAAAGACAGAAGATAGATTATAGAGATAAGAGAAAGACAGAAATATGGAGACAGGTAATGGAGCATTTGTTAAGGACTTACTGTGTGCCAGACACTAAGCTAAGTACTGGGAATACAAATATAAGCAAACAAGAAAGTTCCTACTTTAAACAGCTTACATTTCAAAGGAGGAAGACCACATTTAAAGAGGAGCTCTGCATAATATGGAACTGTTGGCCTCAAAGTGGGCTAGAGGCCTAGTTCAGGACAAGATAAGGTTAATGAATGCTCACTGACAAGAACACAAGGCAGTGCTAAGGGTGAAATCCAAGATTGTTGTGGGGAAGTAGCTATGGCCAGAGTGGAGGGCAGATGACAGAGTCATAGATTTGGAATTGGCAGAGACCTTTAAGACTAATTATTTTAACCACCTCATTTTGCTAATGAAGAAACTGAGGCCTAAATGAATTGCCCAAGGTCTCCAAAAGGAGTAAATAACTGAGTTGGGACTTTTACATAGCATCATAGGGCCACAGACCTAGAAGTAATCTCAGAGACCTACTCCAACCCCCTCATTTTATAGTTGATGAAACTGAGGCTCAGGGAAGTAACTGTCTTGTAGTAAGATTCAGAGGTAACCTAGATCCTCATACTCAAACCCAGGTCTTTTGACACCAAATCTAGGGGGTGCCTGTGCTAAGATAAGCAATATAACATAACATAACATAACATAACATAACATAACATAACATAACATAACATAACATAACATAACATAACATAGCATAGCATAGCATAACATAACATAACATAACATAACATAACATCATAATGTAATGTAATGTAATGTAATATAATGTAATGTAATACAATAAATTTGTTTTTCTACTCAAAGATAGGAGTTTTTAGAAGTTGAACAAAATAGGGACAGCGAGGTAGCCCAGTAGATAAAGCACTGGGCTCTGGAGTCAATTGAACCTGAATTAAATCCGGCCTCAAACACAACACTCACTAGCTGTGTGACTCTGGGCAAGTCACTTAACCCCAATTGCTTCGCCAAAAAGAAAAAAAAGAGAGAGAGAGAGAGAGAGAGAGAGAGAGAGAGAGAGAGAGAGAGAGAGAGAGAGAGAGAGAGAGAGAGAAAGAAAAAGAAAAAAAAGACATTGGGCAAAATTTCATGGAATTGAAAGTGAAATTGAGATATTGAGACAGAAATTATTTTCAAGATCATTTAGTTCAACCCCCTCATTCTATAGCTGAGGAAAATAAGGGGCAGAAAAGATAAGCGTTTTGCCCAAACTCACACCAGGGTTAAGTAGTAGAGCATTGATTTGAGCCCAGGTTCCCTTGCCTCCAAATCCAACATTCTGTTGTGTCATGATTTGCATGGGTCTTTATGAGATTCTCTAATAAACCATGTGGCTTCACCCAGGAAGAAAGAAAGTGACCCTGTACATACAATTTGAGAGTTGAAACGATAAATAAAAAATAAAACCACATAACACATTAGCAGATGAAGCCAAATGAGAAGCAAGAAATAAGAGACAAGGAGATTGACTTTCACAAGGAAATAGAGCAAAAAGCAAATAGATATAAATGCTACTGGGAAATGAGTAACTATGACTCTACGAGGAGAGCATTAGAAGAGAGTCATGTCTTTAGGACTCCACCACTGATTAGGGGACTCTTCCAGTCAGTCAACACCCCAATGCTAATAGTGTTTTATCATTGTGAAATGGAAGAAAAGATAAATGTTGACTTGTTTGCTATAAAGTAGCATTTCAGGGTTTCAAAGCAATAATGTGCTGAAGATTTCTCTAGCCTAAATAATTCTGATTCCCATGAAAGAATTTAAAAAGAGAAAGGAGATATATGATGGTATCATGGAGTCTCTAGTAAGATGGGGAGGATTTCAGCAGCCCAGATTTTGCTTGTCATAACCCATGCTTGTTCAACCCTAACAACCCCAATCCTAGAGTCTTGACCATTTACTCTGTGATGATTATCTTTGCCTATACTTATGTTCTCTCATCTCCAAGTGGCTTCTTACAGCTTTACCTTTTCCAGCTTTGTCTGTCTTCTCCTTGGCCAATCAGGAGCTAGGTTCCTCTGTAAGTCTTTTCCTGGGACTAAATGAATGGATTTGAAGGTCACCTGGAGGTGAAATATCATTCTTCATCCTATATCTTTGCTTCCATTCTGATTCACACAAGGACTAACTCAAACCTCATAAAGTAATCACCAGTAATTACAATTAATTTAACACCTCCTTCTCCTGAATCTTTTCTGTGACTAGGTCCTGGGCAGTCAAGGACTGCTCTTTTACCCTTGTAGGCCAAATTTTACATTGACCTTAAAGGAATATTGCCTCTGAATAATAAATGTTCTTAGAGCCTATCTATTTGGGGGTAAGGAAATGGTGTAGACTACAGGTTCCCAAACTTATTTGGCCTACTACCCCCTTTACAAAAAAAAAAATACCCAACACCCCCCTGGAAATTTATTTTCTTTAACCCTTTAACAATTTTTTTGAATTGGTGTCATTTCAAAAAAACATAAAATATTTTTAAATGACACATCTTAAATTTAATAATTTATCATAAGTTCAGATTTTTTCCTGCACTGAAATTTTGATGATGACCATGTAATTATATAGTATCGCATTATAAACAAATCTTTACATGTGCATATTCCTGTTAATGCATGCTGGACTTCCGGACAATGTTGTCCTGCCAACACTTGCCTGTTAAGACCTGTCAACAGACTTGACCATTGATCTGTTATAAGTTGTGTTTTGTGGTTTATTTCAGAAAAAAAGTAATCACTAGGATGTTAACTCTGTTACACAACAGATGAAACATGTATGAATGGTTTTTCAAATTTTTCTTGTCTTCTCTTCTTTCCTTATGCTTCCACTGCTCTTTTATTTTTATTCCCTCCCCCCCCCACCACCACAACTACACCTGGCTACTATTGTGCCAATGGTACTGATCAGGCACTAATTCCCATCAATAGTTAAACTCCACTTTCGCTCAATGCCCCACTGCTGGGCATGGTATCCAGCATACTGCATGAGGTTGCTATTTCTTTCTGACTATACCAAGTAGTGGAGTACTTAATGGGAGCTGCTGTAGTTCTCTATTTTTTCTATAATCATCAAGTAAAAAGGTAATCGGGGAAATCACTTAGGGCAACTTCATTTCTTTTTAAACTAACCTTAACCCCCCCACACACCCCAATTCACCCAGGTCCTAACAAATGGGTAAGACAACTCAAGGGAGCTTTTTTTTTTTGGTGTTTTGGTTTTTTTTGTTTGTTTTTTCATTTTGTTTTTTTCCTGGACTTGGCTTCCCTCCACACTTGTATGAAAGCATTCTCTTCAGAACAGCTTAGAGAAAACAGGTTTGAAGACTCCCAAGACACAATTATCCAAAGAATACCTCTTGTTTTTCTTCCTCTATTTCCCCCAGGTCCTCCCTGTAGAATACAAGCCCCCACAGGACAATTCTTGTCACAAATAAGGTTCTCCATCCCCCCAACCCCAACCTTTCTTTGCCCCAAAAAGGTCTGTCACGAAAGTCCATGTAATGATGTCCTACCTGGATTTCTCTCCAGGAGGTTTAAGGGAAACAGAAAGATCAGGCTCTGATGAATCACCTCAGTAGTTTCCTTACGTGATCCCAATATTCAACTCAGTGAAGCAGGATTTCTCTTGCCCCAGGCAAGGTAGCTTTCCCTTTGTAAGGGTACTTCAGATTAAGAGGCGGCCAAGAATGTTGGAAACTAGATTGAATAACAGCAGGAAAATACTGAAAAATACTGAAAGCTTAATTATTGAAAGGTCAAATGAGCTCCTCATTTTTTTTTTGAGACTGTCTCCCTACCCTCACTCCCTGATCCTATGAAAGGTTGAATTTGGACATGAAAAGTACTCCCACCCCCCAAAAAAAAATTGGATGCAAAAGAATCCCTCACCCGTAACTGATTTGTTTCATCCATGTCTGACCCTGTCTCAGTGGGAAGGTTCCCGGTGCAACCATCAAAACTCTATTTAAAAATAACCATCAGTGGCCAGAAACTCAGGAGCACCTAGCATAATTGGGTCTGCAGGAAAAAAAAAAAGGAATGATGAAAAAAGAAATGCATTCAAAGCTCTCAGCTGCCTTTTGCTGAAGATGAATGCAGTTTTAAACTGCTGCTTTATTATTTCTTACTGAGTGTGGGCCACCAAGGGATTAAAAAAAAAAACCTACTCCTTAGAGTCACACTGGAGGTGCTTTGGGGAAGGGGGAGGAAGGAGATTTCAACCTTCCCCCCTTCCCTCTCAGGGGATTAAGTTTAAGCTTCGGAAAGCATTTGTTTCTGTGTCTTTATACTTTAAGGGAAAAAAAAAGCTTGTCCTTGATTTGGCTTATTTGAGAAAATCTTTTTAGGTCTACTTTGCTACCTGAGAGATTGGGAGAGCCTACCTTTTTGAAGGGCGATAGAGGAAATCCTTCTGTTTTGCTAAAAAGAAAGAACTGTTGGTAAATATTTTATTTTTTTATTTTATTTTATTGCAGTAAATTCCACATGGTCATTTTTCTGTTTGCCAGCGTAGAGGTGGGAATGAGTGAAAGGGTAATGTTTATAAATATTCCCAGCACATTTCTAGAAATAGGTTACAAGTTTATGATTGTTCATTTTTAAATAAGAGAGAATGAAAGAAAAAAAAACAGAAAAAGTACAAAGGGTATGATTTTGCAATCTTTAAAAAATTTTCAGACGTGGTAATACCAGACACATTTTACCCAAACATTGTAGCCAAGCAAAGATGTCACTTTAGGAAGTTGACTGCCTGGCAGCTAGTAGGATGTTATAGGTCACTGTCCCTGAGGCATGCAGTTTTATTGCCAAATACATATCATACAAGAGATTTTGCTAAATCGGGCATGATTCTGAACTTGAGTTTATAAGCTCCTTAGAGCAGTGCTGTCTTTACATCTTCAACACTTAGCACAGTCCCTGGCACATAGCAAGTTCTTAATAAATGTCTATTGACTTGGCTTCATGTTTCTCCAGTCACTCCCAAGTTTTGAATGGAGATAGGTGAGGTAATTCTTAGTCAATCAGCAGGTATTCATTAAGCTCCTACTCTGTGCTAGGCATTGTACTAACTGCTGGGGATGTGAAGAAAGCAAAAACATGGTCCCTGTATTTAAGAAGCTCACATTTGAAGGAAGAATATGTTATATTAACATATAAGATACATACAATATAAAAAGTTAATCTCCTGGGGGGGCACTAGTGGAGACTTAGAAAGACCTCCTGCAGAAGGTGAGATTTAAACTGTTTAGAAGGAAGCTAAGGATGCTAGGACATAGATTGGAGCATTTCAGCATAGGGGACAGCCTGTGCAAATTCATTGTCAGGAAATGGAGCGTCATGGGTGAGAAACTCCCAAGTTGTTCAGTGTAGCTGGATTGTAGAGTATGTATGGTAGGGGAGGCTAGGGATGTGGGAGTCGGAATTAAGTGCAAAAAGACTAGCAAGGTAAGAAGGGACCAGATTGTGAAGGGCTTTACCAAAAGGATTTAATAGTTGATTCTAGAGGTAATAGGGAGTTATAGAAACTCATTGGTCAGGGGAATGACATGATCAGACCTGATTTTGGGGGAAATGACTTTGACAGCTAAGTGAAGGAAGATTGCAGTGATGCCTGGTTGAATCAAGAGGCAGGGACTTTTAGGAAAGATGTTGGGAAGGTAGAGAGGACAAGATTTAACAACAGGTAGATTATGTGGGGTGAGAATAAGTGAGGAGTTGAGGATGACACTCAGATTGTGAACCTGGGTGGACTGGGAGGATGGTGGTACCTTGGTCAGTAGTAGGAAAGATGGGAAGAGGGGAAGGTTTTGGGGGAAGAGATGAGTTCTGTTTTGGACATGTTGAGTATGCGATGTGTTTGGGACACCCAATTCAAAATGTCGTCAGTCAATTGGTGATGTGAGACTGGAGTTCAGAACAGAGATTAGGGCTAGACACATAGATGTAGGAATTACCTGGATAGAGATGATAATTGAATACATGGAATTTAGTAAGATTATCAAAAGAAATAAGGGAAAAAAGAAGAGCTCCCAGGATTACCTGGGCCTGATGATGGTGCATTGAACTATATAGTATAGAAAAAAAGCATTGAATTTAGAGTTAGTTGATGTGGGTCAAATACTGGCTTTGCTATTTACTCCCTAGGTTGTTGTGGGCAAGCCATTTCACTTTTCTGGGCCTTGATTTCCTCATCTATAAAGAAGGAACTGGACTGGGTGATTTTTTTTTCTTTTTGGTGAGGCAATTGGGGTTAAGTGACTTGCCCAGTGTCACACAGCTAGTTAAGTGTTAAGTGTCTGAGGCTGGATTTGAACTCAGGTCCTCCTGACTCCAAGGCCAGTGCTGTGTCCACTACTTCACCTAGCCGCCCCCTGGCCCTTTCATATTAAAAACAATTAAACACACAATACTCTGGCAAATTTACTGATCAGTGAGTGCCAGGAATTTGAAAAGAGTCTAAGGTTCACGACCACACTGATTTGTAGGTAAGTTGCCTGTGTGGAGTGGTTGGTGAGGAGGGTGATTGGAAGTCCTTTTGCTTAAAAATGCTCCTTCCTCCTCATGCTAAAGCCCTGGGTTCAGTTACAACTTTTTTTTCCAAGAGATGCTAAGCTGCCTGTTCATCTCCTCCCTGATTGCTCAGACCAGGAAGGCTCTTAACTAATCTCTTTCATAAGTATCCAACCTTGATAAATTCCTCTGGGCTGCTCCCTCCTCCATCTCTTGATTAAATAATTTTTTTCTTCTTTCTCAGCTTCTTCATCTCTTATCCTATTCATCTCTTTCAGACATTCCTGTCTTTTATCCCACCCTTAGCGTTACATCCTGTGTTACAGTAATGCTAGGTCTCCTCTGGACTATTTCTGGAGCAAATGATAATCTGGGATAATTTTGCTTTTGCAAAGCAGCTGAATTTATATAATCTGCATACGGTGTTATGCATTGCCATATTTCCTAGAGTATATATATTTTTTCCCTCGATATTTTGGGCACTCAGTATTAACATAACGAACGTGAGGTTCAAGCACATGATCTCATCTGAAACGTCTAACAGTGGGGTTTGGGGAAGGGAAGAAATTAGGCCTGTGTTTTTTGAACCTTCACTTCTGCCCTTCAAAGAGGAAGGGTCCTTTGAGCCATTTTAGTAGCTGTCCCTGCCCATAATCCTCTCCAGCAGTTGCTACTAAAGTTAAGAAGATGAGAAGCTCAAAAACAGCAAAGTGCGCTTCAGAAGAGGCAGTGCAGGATCTGGGGTTAGGAAAACTAGAGTTCAAATCTAGCCTCACATACTTATGTGTATCATGACACTTAATCGCTATCTGCCTCAGTGTCCCCATCTGTAAAAAGGTTTTTGCGTGAGGGTAAAATGAGATGGCATTTTAAAAGTGTTTTTCATACTTTAAGTGACATATAAATGTAGGTATTATTATTATTAATTATTATTATAGCACCAAACATCTTCTTCTTCACAGCAATATCTTAAAACACACAGACTCCTAGTCAGCCAGACAACCCAGACAAGCCTGGCAAATATTCAGGTTTGTGGCTAGTCAATTGATGGGGATGCTTTCTGGAGACCTGGCTCCCAGGGGCAGGAACAATCAGAGGGCTAACAATTAGATAGCAGTGCTGCACTGAGCCATTCTCTGATTGCATGATTCCATCTGACACAGAGGGATGCCAGCGCCTGCCATGAAATCTGTTTCTGTCACCACCAGTATTCAGTAGGTACCTCGACAGAGGCCAGAGCACAGCTGAGGCTCTCCAGAGAGTTAAAGAGCTGGTTGGCAAGGAGGGGGTGGGGAAGGGTGGAGGAAGCAGTGTTAGAAACTGTAGGTAGTCCCCTAACCAGGCTGAAGCATCTAAGTCAGGACAGGAGGGAGGGTCAGGAAGCAATGAAGTCAGTGGGTCACAGCCCAGTTACTGCAGCAGAATCAATTTGGAGATAAAAATAGTGCCTAGCATTCCCTGCCCCTGCCTCTGCACTGACCTCATAAAAGGGCTCAGCTGCCAGAGACCATCAGTTAGCAGCTCCCTGCCTCCCCTTCCCCAAGTGAGAAAGAAAAACAGGAGTTGCAAAGCATCCTTTCTCTCATTCAGTTAGCATCATTCACTTATTAAGTGCTTTCTATGGGCCCACACTGTCCTAATCACTGGGGATATAAAGGCAAAAACAGCTTTCCTGCCTTCAAGGGGTTCAGATTCTGACTTACAACATGTAAATGAGTGTGACTGAACAAACTGTATATGGTGTAAATGGAGGTAATTTTAGAAGGAAAACACTAGCGTCAGGGCCTACAAGTAATCTTAAAGAGAAGGGACTAGTTATAGTGGTGAGGAAAGCATGGCAGCTAGGTGGTGCAGTGGGCCTGGTATCAGTAAGACACATCTTCATGAGTTCAAATCTGGCTTCAAACACTTACTGGTTGTGTGACCCTGGGCAAGTTACTTAACCCTCTTTGCCTCAGTTTCCTCATCTGTAAAATGAGCTGGAGAAGGAAATGGCAAATGACTCTAACATCTTCGTCAAGAAAACCTCAAATAGGGTCACAAAGAAAGCAGACACTACTGAATACCAACTAGTGGTAGGAAGGATTTAGAAAAACCTCCTTCAGAAGATGGGATTGGAGCTGAGTCTTGGAGAAAGTCAAGAAGAGTTTGGAGGGAAAGAGAACACTCCTGGCATGGAGACAGCCTGTGCAAAGGTTCTCTGTCTCCATCTTATCCCACATAGCCAACCGCCCCATCCCTAACAAATTCTCCTTAACAGGATAATTGAGAACAAATGGTGGAAGAGGAGATCCACAAGGGCTAGGGAATGAAATGTGGTTTCAAACTATCTGTAATGAATTCAAATGGCACATTTTTACTAAACCTTCAGTCCTTGAAGCCTCACATGAGGATATAGATCACCCCAAAGACTGAAACTCTTCATCAAACTGAAAGAAAAAAAACCTTCCAGTTCTTCTAAAGTCTTATTTTCATTAAGGGGTGCCCAAAAGACACAAAGCACAGGATTAGCCAATTAGTTCTTGGGTCCCAGGAGTCTCAGATTTAGGAAATCATTTCTAAGACTGAGGTGAAAAACTTGGAAATAGATATGATAGGAAGTAGAAATGAATAGAGCTTGGGAGCCTGTTGGAGTGATTATATCTGCCACCCAGCAGGGAAGTAACCTTTCCACCACCACATTTGACATTTGCATCCCTGCCAATGCATCGTGGGTAATTGCTACATGGTGTCATATCCATTTGATGGGTATGTTCCAACTGAGGTACGAATGAGGGTTTCAGCAATAGGAGAAGGAAAGCATAGGAAAGTTCAGCTGTATTTTGAATGAAAAGATAATGACCTTGACCATAAAAGTAATAAGGTTGAAGTAAAGTACGGTCTCCCAGGGTAGGACACTAGTGCGCTTT